CACCACATTACTTCTGACTGACACCTTTCCGTCGTGCTGCTGGAATATGAAGTGTTTCTTGACCCCAGAGAGAAGCCTGCAGGAAGAAACTCACACAGTCAGCAGGACCCTGAACCCACCCTCAACACAAACCTGATCTCGGTGTGTGGCGACCTGCAGGCGACTGTCGTCATCTCTTACCACAGCGTTTCTCGAATTACTTGCGTCTCTGTGACGAAGGCCTTCTCTTCTGGCAGGTACAGCGGATCCGTGTTATACAGGTGCTGATCCCTGAGGGGACAAATGCAGCATCAGCACCAAATACTCTAATTTCAAACTATAGCTCCTCCCCCAACTGCACCCAGGCATCCCTCTCCCAGCTCTTCCCCTGGGGGGGGGGTTCCATGTCCAAATGTTCTCCCCACAGGTAGGACGCTGTATATTAATTTTTAACTATCATTGAGGATGAGCTCACCACACATTGAGGAGGTTGGAGTGCAGATGCAGGCTGTGGGGAAAACGAGGTGCATGCGATGCCCAGTACGGGGTCACCAGATGCTGCTCCAGCCAGGCCCTAGCGTCAGGCTCCCCCACTGAGAGGAAACATGGGGAAAAGGTTCAGTGTGACAATAAAACACCCTCCATGTCCGAGTCGCTTACACTGCAGCGCATTCTGGGTAGTGACATCAACGTTTTTTGTTCAGCTTTTGTGACTGAACAGGAAACAAACCAGAAGCTCCTTCCTCTCATTTGGTGGAAACGTTGTAAAGACCTGCACCTTCTGCTGTGTGACTGCTTCGCACCTGTCCACGTGACTGGAACGGTTTTGTTGGCGTTGTCCTGGTCCTCCTGAGGCGTCCTGTCCAGCTGGATCCCAGAGTCCTCCCTGCTGATTGGCTGCTGACTGTCATCATCCTCGCTCTCCTCCTCAGACCACTCCTATGGAACAGGAAACACTGATGGGCACAGCTTACCTGTAATACGCCTGTAGGTACTGTGCTCAGTATAATACAAACCAGGACACTTCCTAAAATATATAAAAGCAGAATGCAATGATCTGCAAATCCCATAAACTCATATTTTATCCACAATAGAACACAGAAAACACAGTAAATACTCAAAATGAGACATTTTACTGCTTCGTGACAAATCTGAGCTCATGGGGAATTTGGCGACAGCGACACCCTAAAATATGGGACGGAGCAACAAAAGCGTGTGAAAGTCAGCGATGCTAAAGAGAAGATCAAAGGTGAGCTGGCAGCAGGTCGGTCACGTGATCAGGTAGAAAAAGATCATCTCAGAGAGGCGGAGCTTCTCAGAGGTTCACCAACCTATTTAAGAATCACAGTCCACGCTGTGAACATCTCATCATCTACACAACATGACATCATCAGCACACTCGGAGGATCTGAGTGTGCTCTCTGTGCACAGGCTGATGACTGTAACCTTCAGCAGAAACACTGCTCTGTGATAAATCTGTGCACGGCTCAGGAATATTTCCATAAACCAGCGTCTGCGAGCAGCTCGGCGTGCCATCCACACATGCTGGTTACAGCTTCGTCATACTGACACGAAGCCACGTGTAACCATGATCGAGAAACAGCGCCGGCTCCTCTTTAAAATGGACCAAGGCAAAGCAGAAACTGATCTCAGGTCAGAATCATCAGCATGGCTTCAGAGGAGAAGAGTCTGGCCCACCTGCAGTTCAGACCTCTGACTGGCCGACAACATCTAGAGCGTTGTGAAACAGGATGAAACACAGCCGGGACTGCCGAGCAGCTGGAATCCTCAATCAGACCAGCCGCTGTCCTCAGTTCACAGACCATCACAGACTGATGTCAGAGAGGAAGCACAGACCTGTCCTACTTTACAGACGTGACGCTGCCGTCAGATTCAACACAAGTTCACGTTTGATTCAAAACAGCCTTTTCTGTTCTACAGTGAAGAAAATGTGACTTTCTTTAGGTTTTTTTAGCGTCTGACTTTGTTGGAGCTTTTCTGGGTTTGTACTTGTGGGTCAGAAATGAGTTTTGTTTTTCTGCCTGTGAACACAGGTTAGTGATGATGTTAAAGTCATGTGACTGTGGTGTGGTGTTCATGTTGCACCACACCACAGTTGCACCAGATCACCCTGAGCAAAAACCCGTTGTCAGCGGGTTTTTGCTCAGAGAATCAGAAACAGCTCTGCATTCATAAAGGTGGGCTCGGTGACTCACAGGTGTGTCTGGGTACGGCCCCATGTCTGCATCCTCGCCCTCCATCAGATATTTAGCCCAGTCAAACTTGTCCTCCGGTTCTGCAGACATAAGACTGAAAGATTAACATAAACTGTGTGATTTTTAGCCTTCAAGGATAAGTGCTAAGGTTATCTGGAAACAAATCATTTGGCCTTTGACATGAAGTGCACTTATAATCACTGCACTGATGTTGTGCAGTGAAACACGGTGGGCAGATTTCCTGCTGCTGAAGCTTTCGATCTGACTCTGAAACAGAAACATGGGCGCGACTGTGACGACGTCACTGGAATCTGTTCATCTGATCCTGGTGTCAAAGCATCATTAGCATCTGTAATGTGGGATTCACTAAAACAAAGCTTTGGTTTAAAAAGTTCTACTTTTAATGAGAGAAAAAAAACCGCTTTGGAAGAATATGTGAAAAACGTTCTGTTTGTACCGTTTGTGTTTCCAACTCCAACCTGAGAAAAGCAGAATTAATGAATTCAGAATGTGTTGACACGTTGGTCACAGATAAAGGGAACTATGCGGTTCTCACCGGCCTCCTTCAGCCTGGGTCGCTCTGTGAAGTCTGTGTTTGAGGGGGATCCCGACAGGCAGAGCAGCAGTGACAGTATGCTGTAGTGTGCATCGGTCTGAGGAAACACAGATCACGTTTCACTGAGATATTCTCACATCATTGCAGTCATGTTTCAATGTTCGAGCCCGACACACCAGAAAACTGTGTGTGTAACATGTGTTACTGACCCATTAGGGCTGCGTCATCTGTCAGAAAACTAGCGCACACTTTATTACTGTGCACTTTTCTCTTGCACTGCTGTGTCTGTATCGTTCTGTCTTTGTTTTGGTTTCTTGCACACTTTATGTAGTCTTGTGTTGATTGTCTGATATATGTAGCACCATGGTCTTGGAGGAATGCTGTCTAGCTTCACTGTGTACTGTACGACGACGCATGGTGGGAATGACAATAAAGCTACTTGACTTGAAAAGACTAATGTGATTGTTTATTGATTGCAAGTTTACACTTATTACCTTCATCCATCCAAAATCCCCTCTGACTTTCGTTCACAAGTTTCATGCTAGAATATGATGCAGCATGCCAACACTGACTGGTGTCGCACATGAGTATTGATCGCTATCCGTCTGTGATAGAGCAGAAAACAGCTGTGCGCTACCTTTTCCCCATCTGTGTTCGGTAAAGGTGAGTTCAGGAATTCTTCAGTCAGTCTCATCCAGCTTTCTGCTTTCTGTAGGTCCGAGTGCACCACGAGCTTCTCGTAGATTCTGGAAAACAGGGCAGACTGTCACTATACCATAACGTTAGCTGGAGACGAAGAGCGGAGGATGACGATGGAGCTGCCAGGCAGGAGGAGGAGAAGAAGAACTCAGGGGAGGTTGGTGGATGTAGCGAAGGGGGACAAGCAGAGGGGTGCAGTGACAGGGGAGGATTCTGGGACAGGAGGACATGCAGAGCCCTGAAGGAGAACATACACATGTTTAGTTTGCTCAGACTTCACTGTTTTGAAGGAGTCACTCACCCGCTGACACTGCGCTCCACTTTGTGGCTGTCTGTGTCCAGATATCGATGAAACCTGAGGAGACACGAGGCGGATGTTAGGACGCTGTGTGCAGCAGCCTGCTCCCCCGCACACCCGTAAAAACTCACTTAAAGTTGGACCAGGCGAATTTGAGCGCCAGCTGGAAGTTTTGGTCCTCCTCATCCTCGATCCCGCTGAGACACCTGATCAGCCGCTTCGTCTCTCTCTCACTCTCCTTTTCGAAGGTGCTCCAGTGCGCCATGTTGACGCTGTCAGCCGGGCTGCAGTCCCCGTGAACGGGCACAGATCGAAGCGGCCTGTCGGTCTGCTTCCAGCCCGCGGTTTCCACCCGCGAACAGGCTAACAGCGCCGGAGATGTCTTAAATGCGCCATTATAGACAAATGGCTGTCTCCTCCATTGATTCCTACAGGACCGCGCAGTGTTAGCCCCACCTCCATAACAAACAAGTAGCACTGAGCATGCGCAAAAACAATTCAAATAAGTTACCGTTTTTATTTTTTACTGTTTTAAAGTAGTTAAACCTCGTTTCTCAGTCGGTACAAAAAATGACAAAAACTGAATATTTCACTTTCTGTGAATCTACGTAGGAAAATGGCGGTAATGCATCCGTATGAGCAGCAGAGGCCGCACGGGCACTAGTAAACAAAAAGCACTGAAATACGTTAAAGGACTAAAATGAGTACGTGAAGATGCTTCTAGACAGCAAGTCCATGGTTTAGTTCTTGCAGTGACCCGGATAATGCTCGCACGGGTCAACGAGAGGACGCGCTATCTTGATATCGCCTTTTAACCAGGTGAGGAGCGCAGTCAAAAGCCCCCGTGGTGATGGTCATGATTCTCTGCAGATGCTCAGGTCATGCTCACATATGTACAATAGAAGATTTTACGAAAATAAAAGCCTGTAAATAACTTTTGATTTGACTGTATTGATTTCTCTATATTTGAATACTTACACATTCTTAACACTCTATGTTTCCAGAAGAAAAAGGTTCATAGCAGTTTTGTTCTACAGCTATAGACTCGCTAGTGCCCTCTGTGAACTCATGAGCTATGCTATTAGCTTAAAGCGCTCACAGAAGGCGGCGAGTGCGCTGAAACACTGGGGTTCCCATAATTCAGCGCGCTCACGGGCGGGTGCTTTTGGTGGACGCCTCTTTCCTTCGATGCTCTCTGTTGTCGGCGTCAACAAGTCCCGCCCCCACACTGCTCACTCTTAACTCACAGAGACGGTGGACGACAGTAGTCCCGGCGTGAGACAGCGGTGCTGGTGTTTCTACTCAGACGAAGCGGCAGGGGGCGTGGCTAACACTCCGTACAGCAGCGACCCTGCGCGGAGATGAAGAGGAGGCTAAACAAGAAGTACCTGCTGCTGATCCTGGCCTACACCGGACTGCTGCTGTTTCTGCCCTACGTGCTTGACTCTCGGGACCGGGCGACCCGGCCGGCGGCGCAGCTCCAGCCCCGCTGCCCGGAGTTGGAATTGCCGTGGGAGGACGCTGGGGGTCCCAACGGCAGCGAGCCGGCGACCGAGCCCGCCTCTAACCGCAGCCAGCCACGGATCCATGTCTACCTGCACGCCACCTGGAGGACCGGCTCCTCCTTCTTGGGCGAGCTGTTCAACCAGCACCCGGACGTGTTCTACCTGTATGAGCCCATGTGGCATATCTGGCAGGCGCTGTACCCTGGGGACGCGCAGAGCCTGCAGGGTGCCGTGCGCGACATGATGAGTGCACTCTTCCGCTGTGACTTCTCGGTGCTGCGGCTGTACGCGGGCGGGCAGAACGTGAGCAGCGCTTTCATCTTCGGCTGGAAGACCAACAAGGTGCTTTGCTCCGAACCGCTGTGCCGCGCGCACCGGCGCCACGAGGTGGGATTGGTGAAGGAGGAGCTGTGCGCGCAGTGTCCGCGAAGGGAGCTGCGCGAGCTGGAGCGCGAGTGCCGGAAGTACCCGGTGATGGTGATCAAAGGTGTGCGTGTGCTGGACCTGGGCACGCTCGTGCCGCTGATGCGGGACCCCAGTGTGAACCTGCGCGTCGTGCAGCTGTTCCGGGACCCGCGCGCCGTGCACAACTCGCGTCTGAAGTCGAAGCACGCTCTGGTGAAGGAGAGCATCCAGGTGCTGCGCAGCCGCAGACAGAGCGACAGGTACAAGCGGTTGCTTGCGCCCGCGAACCGTGCGACGCGCGCGGAGAGCTACGTGTCGGGCGCCCTGGAGCTCATCTGTGACGGCTGGTTGCGCGACCTGCTGCTGCAGCTGCGCGCACCGCCCTGGCTGCGCAGCCGCTACCTGCGCCTGCGTTACGAGGACCTGGTGCTGAGGCCGGCCGAGCAGCTACGCAGGCTGCTCCGCTTCGCTGACCTGCCCGCGTCTGCCGCGCTCGAGAGCTTTGCGCTCAATATGACACGCGGGCACGGCTACTCTTCCGACAGACCATTCCTCATCTCCTCCCGCGACGCCAAGGAGGCTGTCCACGCCTGGAGGGAGCGGCTGAGCGTGGAGCAGATCAGTCAGGTGGAGGCGTCCTGTGGCGAGGTCATGAGGCAGCTGGGCTACCAGAAGACGCATGAGGAGGACACAGCGTCCTGACAGAGCTGTGGGCCTAGGTAAGCTGACAAGCGCCTGTTTATGTTGCTGATCTGAGACCTCTGACCTGACCTGCTTGGATCACAATACAGGTGAAACTAAGACTTTCATACATCACAGCCTCCACGCTGATGACAGGGCATGTCACATGTCTTAACCCCAGACTGAGCCCTGAAGCTGCTCTCACCACACACACACACACACACACACTCTAACGCACACACACTGTAACACACACACTGTAACAGACACACACTGCCAGGGAGAGCAGCCAATAATCTGCTGAGGTCATGTCGCTGTTCTTCCTTCAGTTTGATTAAAAAAAACAATGGAAATTGTTTGTTTAACTCAGAGGAGATGATGCTCTGGAAAGAGCATCTTCCTGTTAATGACAGGAAGTGACACGAGTGAGGCGTGATGCAGTGAAATTTTATTTCTGACATAAAATGCAAACAAAAGGTAGTAGCAGATAGTAATGGTCATAATTGTGTCACCAAACAGCACAAAACCAACAAGAACATCATTTAGATTCAAAATTTAAATGGTAATATTCTATAAAAGCAGATGTTTGCAGGTGGTTTAGCTGTGTCACAGTTGCCGATGGAGCTTTCGCCCCAGCGTTGAGCCCAGCTTCGGGTCCGAGTCCTCGTCTGGTGAACAAAACGAGAGAAAAAAAGAAACTGAACCAGACTCTAAGAAGTGACAGCCAGCTTACCCCGTCGCCCGGATTGTTGTTGGAGGCGATGTGAACATGAGAGTCGATGAGGGCATGAATTTGTGTCTGTGGGTAAAACCTGTAAGTCTGTAACATCACCTGTACGCACTATAGTTGCAGGTTAAAGCCGCGTCAGTGACAGCGATACAATCCACAGCGCTTAACAAAACTCAATCAGGACTGCACTCACCTGTTCACAGTGTAGTGTCTAACAGCTGTTCCTGCATCAGGAAACACACCTACACAGACAGGATGTAACATGGTGACCTTATCAAGCTCACAGTAAGCAAAGAGGTCTGAGGCTGCTGGGTGTATGGGGCATATTTAAAGATTCAGGTGTGGTTGGAGACAGAGCATTGGGCTAAGAAAGGAAGCAGGTGTTAGAGGAAACTTACACTTGCTACTGAGGGCATGAACCGTGCAGGAGGAAGTTCTCTTTCAGGTTGTCTGCGTGTTAATAGGAAGCAGCGGTGTGCGTGCAGAGCTGATGACGTTGTGTCCTCGGCTAGATGTGGAAACATTGTTTCCAATGTTTCCACATCAAAACACGACATCAAAGCACGACCACAAAGGTCAGAGGTCAGACTGTTTAAATGAAGGCTGGGTCGAGTCTGTGTGTGTCTCTGTCTGTGTGTGTCTCTGTCTGTGTGTGTGTGTCTGTGTGTGTGTGTTTCTAGGAATGTGTGTGTGTGTCTGTAGTTCATGTGAACAAACTCGGTGTGGATGTGTGACTCCTGATTTGTGGGCTGTCCGCCTCCCTCAGATACAGGTACCACCTGTAGAGAACAGAAGCGCTGACGTTAGGTGTGTTGTGTAGTTCGTGTAGTGTGGTTGTTGGAGCGTGTGTGATGCTGTGATGTGTTAGTGTGTGTTTTCTGAAGCACAGGTAGGAAAACAAGCGCCGCAGAACTCGATGGGAACATGGAGGAAGGCGATTTGGTGATTCCATCACAAAGACCTTATGGGTGCGGGAGTCAGGGACGTGCGGTTCTGTGGAAGAAGTAAAGCGTGTTTCATGTTTCGATGGTGCTGATTGAATTAAACTTTAATCATGTCGTTGATGGTTTACAGCAGCGTTTTGTGTAAGCGGCTGCACTTTGCTCTGATGGTCAGATAACGATCCCGGTCGGTTAATATGTCCCAGATTTAACTCGGTCAATCTGTAAAATAGCTTGTGTGGCTGAAGAAGGGCAGGAGACAGATGCTGTCCAGGGTAGCAAATGATTTGTTTAACATCACTGTGACCAAAAATATTTACAAAAATAAAGAAAAACTCAACTCCGAAGTTAACTTGGTAGAAATAAACATAACTGAACATAAACCAACAAAATTTAATGTCAAGTGCACTCAGCTAAACTGACCTGGTCCTCTCCTTTTGAACACCTGAGTTCTTCTACTTAAATACTCAAGCTATCTAAACAATATCCTCCTCCGGACTATTCCATTCAGTAGGTAAGATAAACATTACCATTCTCATAAACTCATGATGCTACTCTTTACTAGCAATAAAAGAGACTAAGGTGTAGCCAATACATGTTACATCAATATATCTCTCTCAAACAAACATAATCCTAAAATTGACTTTATTAAATTAAACCAGTTCTCCCCCCTCTTCACCTGTTCCCTTCCCGTGACATCAGAAGCTAAACAGGAAGCTATAAATACAGGAAGTGAGGCAGCACTTCCTCCTTTTGCTCCTGGAACACCGGTAAGTCAGGTGAGTTCAAACCAAATAAACTAGACAAATTAACAGTTGAAATAAATAAAATGTTAACTTAACAAACTTGTCAATGTTGATTTAAACCAAGATGTTATATTACATAAACTGTAAAAGTGCAAAACATAAACAAACCCGGGATAGTAAATCTTTGCAAACTACAGAACAAAGATATGGTATGGCAAAATCAAAGCAAGAATGTTAACTAAGAATAGCAAGCTTCAAATCTGGACAAATGGTGTTCTCACCCACTTTGTCATACAATCACAACATGTCAAAGACAGAGAGAGAAGTCCCCCCCCTCCCTTTAATGACCTGCTCCTCCATAGAGGCCTCTTTGTTCTGTCTCTGGCATTGCTGGCTCCTCTTATGGGGGGAGGAACTGCAGCGAGCCGTCAAGAAGGGCATCATTGTGTGAGACTGTACGTGACTGGGTAGAGCTCCAGGGCGACAGCGCGGCTGTCACCGCAGGCTCCCACAGACACGACCTTTAAGGGTGCTGTGAGAGCCACGCAGGCTACAGAAACGTCCCCACAATGCCTGCGCAGTGTTACGTCACAAAGTCTGAATGTTCCAAGAACGTCTGAGGAATGTTTGTCATTTAAACGTTAATGGTTAAACGTTGTTGATTAGATATTGACCTGAAGTTGGAATCCTTTTATAAAACGTCCCCACAGTGTTATAGAAGAATGCTGAAAAAAAACAAAACAAAACACTTTATGACCTTTGACCCCAACAATGGTCACAGAAATGTCTCCTTTATTAGTAACCTTCTTTATTAATCCTAATGTTCCACAATGTGTCTCTGTGTTTTTTCTCTTTTACCACCTACGCAAGAATCACCTGAAAGAGTATGGAGAGTTTACAGGTGAGAAGCAAAAAAGAGCCGTCAGGTGCTCCAAATAAACCTTAGACTCAAATGTTAGAACAGGCTTTTCCCCGCAGCACGCCATGTAATAAATACTCGCAAAGAAAATAGAAGCCGTTACAACTTATATCTAAAAATATATCGTTTCATGCATCGGTCAAAACACTTCACACAAGTAAAGTTGCCCGAGATTCACAGAATTTACAGAAAATGCACTATTTTGTGATATTTATTGTTATCGGGATGAGAAATGTCCTATATCGAGATATAAGATTTTCGTCATATTGCACAGCCCTATCTCTGCCCTGTCTTTCTCACCAGCAGATGACCACCCCTCCCTGAGCCTGGTTCTGCCGCAGGTTTCTTCCTGTAAAAAGGGAGTTTTTCCTTCCCACTGTCACTAGTGTGCTTGCTCATAGGGGGCCTTGTGATTGTTGGAGTTTCTCTGTATTATATTAGGGTCTTTACCTTACAATATAAAGCGCCTGGACTGTTGTGATTTGTTAAAAAAAAAAAAAAGCAGGTTATTCGCTCACTGTTTTCACTGGAAACGCTTCATATAACATTGTTTTTATTCTAACAAACATCCTCAGAGTGATTCAGGCTAATTATTTAAGACTTAAACGTTCCTGTCTTCACAGATAGATCATCATCACTGGTTCTGTTTTCTCTGTTTTGGTGGATGTTTGACCCTGAATAAGATAATATGGATGGATGAACGAGTTTTGGTTCCTTTTTTCTTTTGTTCAGATTCGTCCCTCAGTCTTGTCCTCGTGTCTCTGGTTAAGTTTGTCTTGGTTACTTCCTTTTTGTTATCAGAGTATTTAGACCTTTCTCGTTCTCTCAGCTGCTTTAGTCTGCATGACAAATATTCTTGTGCAGGACACTGAACCTTCAGAGTGTGAACGTTAGAAAGCCTTAAGCATGGAAAAAGTGCTTGTGTGAATGTGTGTGAAAGGGTGAATGAGGCATGTTGTATAAAGTGCTGTGAGTGCTCAAGTTGAGCAGTATGATTATGAAGCCATTAGTACCAGATCGACTGCCCACGGTTTTCAGGGTTTTAGTACCTGATACCAGGTACTAGAATGTGACAACAGGCTGCATGCCACCAATTGGCGGGTCAGTGGCATCATGAGAGCATCTTGTTCACAAAAAGTTTTTGAAACCCCATGACGAGGAAACGGCTACAGGAAAGGACGCCGTGTTCCCCGAGTGACAAACAGCCACTCATTATCGTTCTGTGGGAACAAAGCGCCTTCAGGGCTCCGAGTCTTACTGACTGCAGCTCGCTCACAACTTCAGATTTATTTTTAATCCTCAGCTGATTTTTTTTTTTCTTCTTCCAGGGTCGTGGTGTTCAGTCTGAGGTCAGAAGGTGGTCTAACTAAACAAGCAACTGGAATGTGTTCCTTGAGGAGTTCTCAGGCGTGACTCGAGGACGGTTTTCCTTCGGCCGAGCCGGGCTGATGAACTGGAGAAAATCTGAGCAAAAGAGCAGCCAATCACAGGCGGACAATTTGGAACAAGGAGGCGGCGGCTCATTTTTCCTGGTTTCTGTTGGACACCAGCCCTGCACGCCCCGGATGTTCCTCCTCAGGAGGTGACTGCCAAGATCAGAGCGCCGGCTTCGCTGTCACCTGTGTGACTCATCTGTCTGGCTTGCGACTCAGCGTGGCAGAGATCGCCAGTGTTTGTGGTACTCACTAATAGCACTAATGTAGAGCAGTGAAGAAGAACTGCAGTATTTTGGAGAGGCTACTCTCCTCTCTAACCCTCCCCCCGGCCTCTCAGGAATGTGCACTTCTCTGACAAAACACTCACATGGGTGTAAGATTCCTCCGTCCTCACACAGTGTAGGGTGCAGGGCCCTGTTGTTTTCTTCGAAAATGCTGTAAATGTTGTAACCCAAGCCTCCAGAAGGGCTTTAGTGTTTGAGATACCCCTCTCACCTCCAAACCTCCAGCAGCTTCTGTGCACAGACAGAGGTGGATCCAGGTCTGCAGCCCTGCAGCCAGCTCACGGAGCCAGACAGACAGAAAGCTGAATTTTTTTTTGTGTATTTAAAAAGTGGATTCACTGTTACAGGATTCGTACAAACAGTTTGTTACGTGTGTACACTTGGATTTGGCCGTGGTTGGTTCAGCGACCAATGAGCTGTTGTAGCTCACAAGGTTAAATACTGTGGAGCAGAAGGGCAGGTGGGAGGTGGAGCACCTAAAGATTTGATAATGGAAGCTCACACAGCAGCACAGTCTGTGAGCAAAGTCCGCTTTACTTTCCTCAGCTAATGTCCTGCGTATGTCTTTGAAGACATGACTCGGTGGTAGGGGTATCTCAAAGTCTTGGGAGGTTGCCCCCACCTCCCATATGTGAGGCTCAGAGGTTGTTTCTGTACTTTTTGTTGGCACTGAAAGAAAAATAACTTCAAAGCGACTCAAAGAATAAAAAGCTGACACACTCCATAAAGAGTTTGTGTATGATTGTTAATGCTAAGCCACATTATCTGTAGGTTCATTTATCAGCACGTCAAAGTTCATTCATATTCATTTGTTTGGCTGTTCTGGTTGAACTGAATGGACACAAACTCATCTCCAGCTCCAAGTTTCTGTTCTCGGACTCTTACAGAGCAGCTTAGCATAACTCACAAAATAATCCTTCTTTATCTGATACCAGGCCTCAGGTCACTCTCTGAAGCAAGCTCATTTAGCTCCTCCCAGTTTGAGGGCTTCCTGATTGAATGCCCATCAAAAACAGAAGCATGAAATGAGCATATAAGGACGGGAATATTCGGTGTATCACAGTAGCACAAGGTACTGAAGCCGGAGAGAAGGGATTAGCTCTGTTAGCACGTGAGCTTCACATTACTGAGAAGATCCAAATCAATCCTGAAAGATGCAAATGATTTTGTTATTTTACTGCCACGATTACAACATAAGTGCAGGCGGCCTGTGTGATATGTGGGTGTTCCAACATGAACGTCCTGCTTGATTACCGCAACTCAGAATAAGCTGCATCACTCTGATGCACTCGGGTTAATAATACAACAGGACTCAATATGATCTCGTGAAATATTCAACTCATAAACTGGATAGGTCATCAGACTTTACACTTTGATCTCAAAGGAAGTGAATCTTTTTCTTTTTTTTTTTTTGAGAGCATCGTGAAAACAGGTCAGCTGTGTTTTAATAACATCACATATCAGACAGTGTTTACACCTTTTTCATTTCCCTGACTGAATTTTTATTTTGAATGCCCGAAAATATCTGCGTGTTCAAAAATACACCAATCTCCTGCCTCCCAATCTTCTGACACACACACACAGCCACAAACACGGAGTGCGAGTGGATTTGTAAACACCACAAAATGCGGCAGCACTGGGTAAGAACTTAAGATTTTATTGACATGCTGACATGCAGACCACAGTGGATGCAGACGGGCTGCAGAGCTGCTACTAAACACAACAGTTGCATACATTGACAGTTAGGCTACGCATCACATTTCTCACGTACTCCTGCCGACACGGGAAGGTCAGAGACGGTCTTGCTTGCTTCCCACGTCCTCGCAGAGAGTGCGCCGAACATGCCAACTGCCTTTAGGACTCGTGCAGAGCAGCACGCTCACAGTTTAGTGCGCTACCTTTCACATGACAGAGGGAACATGGCTCCCCCATGAGCTCACCTACACAGTCTCACACCAGCGTCAGTGAACCCTCCCTGCAGAGCTCGGCTTACAGAAGCACACTCGTTTCCTGCTGTGCATCTGAAAGCCTCATGCTAAGCTGGGAGCCGTGCTTTTCACACCTGCTCCTGCGCATGCACACACCAGCGCAGCAACCACAGCGGGGCCATGAGCGCAGTGAATTCTAAACAGCTGTGGTTCAGCTGTCTGAAAAAGTGACAGCCTGCAGCTTCCGGGCAGTGCACTTCCTTGCAGCGAAATGTTTGTCTTAGACTGAAAATATGCAAAATTCTGCAGCCGTCGTGTTGCCGTGCAATAAAATCATCACTGCAGTCAATAATGACTCAATCAGACCGCAGGAAACTCAGTGTGGTGTCCTGTGTGGAGCGCTAAAATCTTTAATCTGGTGTGAAACTGGTCAGTGGAGCTGGGGAAGCTTCACAGCACGAATCTACCGTCCCCAAACAAGAAGTTGAGTAGGGTTCACATCACTGACCTCCAAACACAAGTGCAGCTTCCTGTTTTCAAAGTAGTCAGCGCTCAGGTTGCCGGCACTAGAGATGAGTGAAGTCTGCAGTATCACCTACGTGCAGAGAGTCAGCTGCTCTCCTTTGTTTCAATGTGCACAGCTTTGGTTTTCACAAACAGATGACGTCATCACTTCCTCCCTCACTGAAACCTTCTTCACATTTTTATTCCGAAGCTTTAATCGCTCCAGTATGAGCTGAGCAGGCTTCTACTTTCAGCTTTAACACTCTGCTAATTTCCTGTGTGAGGATAAAATGTGAAGACAGCCTTCATGTGGCGTCATGCTCACCTGCACAGTTTGTTGTGAGACACTCAACGCTTCTGCAATTGCCCACACAAACACAGCCCCACATCTGATTCTCTGCTCAGACACACACATACACAAACACACAGAGTGAACTTTATAGAAATTATGCACAGCAGCACGTTTCTAAAACAAAAGTGTGATGTCACTCCTGACAATGAGTCCAGAGGGAAAATTAATAAGTGAACCGTGTGTTTCGAGTGAGTATGGAGGCTACACAGCAGACGCACACACGCCTGTTTACCTGCACACACAGCTGACGCAGGTGTGTGCTGCTCGCCGGGGTCACGTTTAAGCCTTCAGAGGGTCGCTCTGTGAGATCTCCTTCTAAAATCATCTCTGTGCACAAGCCTGAGTGACCGAGCTCCGCCCGCTCTCTTCGGCTGACTGCTGAGGATGAGTCAGCTTTGCCAAACGTGCATGGGGAAAGAGAGGGAGGAGAACATAGAGGAGGGAGCTCTGCAGCATTAAGGAGCAGTTACGATGGGAGGTGCCCGCTCTTTGCAGTCAGTAAAGCCTCTCAACACCTCCTGCTCACTGGGGATCCATCCAGAGGTCACCAGGCCTGCTGGATGTTGGGAGAATCATCCATCTTTGCATGCGTATCATCAGTGAAAGCATTTCTCAGCTGCTGCGCTGCTTCTGATCCTCGTCCAAAAGTTGAAGCTCCGCAGTCCGACTGCACACTGCATGTCTGTTTTGAAAAATCAGCATTTCCTTTGGAGACATAATGAAATACAAAGTTCTTTAACTGCGTATTCGTCCAGAGCAGACACCCGGACACTGTGTGGAGCAAGGAGGAAGAGGAGTATTCAGACATAGGCGAGTGCAGCGATGCCCGTCTACATGACAGGGTCACATGACAGAATGAGTCAGAGAGACTTTGTCCAGCTGAGGTGTTGTGATCCCAAAGGAAGTTCAGAGTCACTCTGCAGGACCGCCCTCCTGGATGTGGAGAAAGCTGAGGATGAGGTGGTTGGGGGTGGGTGCGGGGGCGGGTGGGGTCAGATGTGGTCCTCGATGGGGAAGACGAGGCGCGTCCCTCGGCTCAGCAGCTCCTGCTCGCGGGAGTCCAGCTCACGCTCCAGCGCCTCCTCTGATGTGCTGCCGCTCCTTTTCCCATTCGTGCTCCAGCCCGACCCCCCGGCAGTGTCCGCTCCACTGCCAGACGCCCCGTTGGCGGTGATGGCGGTGTCCCCGAAAGTGAAGGTCAAGTCTGCGTCGCCACGGATCAGGTCAGAGTCCGGGTCTCTCAGCTGCTCATGGTTCTGAAAACAAATCCAGAGCAGAACATGAAGGGGAAGAACGGGACCACACGAGAACAGATGTGGGACGCATGTGGCAAAAACACGCATGACCACACGAGCACGCTGACATGAGTGCAAGGGCTCACAGAGGACACAGTGGATCTACACGGGGGAGGGGCAGATTTAGGCTGGATTAACCTCCAACTGTCGCCCTGCTTCTCTGAGCTGCCTCTAATCGGAGAGAAATCACACATCTGCCCCTGCTTCTCAGACTTTCCAGGCCGGAGAACTGAAACTACACGTATGTTTTTATTTGAGTGAATTTTGTTGGTAATTCGTCTTTGTGACAGTTTTCAGGTATTTCAGTGATATGAATTTTCAAAGGTCTGAGACGCACACAGAGTCGTGAAAACAGGATTTCTCTGTGAAACATCAATGAGCTCAGTGATATCGCTGAAACATTTGGGTCAGCTTCCTGTGAGCATCTAAAGCTCCAAATCACACGCTGCACGGCGCTCGAGTCCGGGTCTGAAATGATTGACGGATCAATATTTGGCCAGGGGTCCCCCAGGGAGGACGGGATGAGTTAACTCGGGGGGTCAGTGCGGGGATTACTCTCACAGAGGGATCCAAGAGGATTACATAACACTTTCTCTGCAGCAGCAATCATGGCAAACCGAGCAAAGCTTTATCTTTTTAGTTGTGAAACTAAGCCACCTCACTTCCTGTTGACTTCCTCTGTGAACACGAGCAATATGTGAACTACGTATTTGTGAGCCACTTTTGAAATGAAAGTGTTCGTCAGGAGGGTTAGGGTTAGCGGCGCATTGATGCTTTCGCTGCATTTAGCTCCTTTACAGACCGTGAGACATCTGTTGTTCTGAATTACATTTTGAGCCATCGCATTTCACGTGTTTCGTTCCCCTCTGTGTTTTATAAAATTTATAAGCGGAGGAGAAAGCAGACGGGGAGCTTTATTTAATCTCCTGTGCCCACACAGAGTCCTAGATGGGCCTGATTACATGAGCCTGGCAGCCAGCCGCTCGCTGGCAAACAGCAGCAACAAACTGGGAGGGGAAGCGTTTCTGTGAGCAGACTCGGGATAGGAGGCACATTCAGATAAATAAATGAAACGAGAAACAGTCAAATTACAGTTCAGATCTCTGAATGCGAGCCAGCTCTGAGGGCTGAACTCCTCTTTGAGCAGGAATCTCTCAGAAAATGAAAAGAGGAATTTGCCAGAGTCCATCCAAGTGTGACCGCGCCTTCAATGGTTGCTTGTGTGGCTGAAATATCTTTCATTACAGTGCTCATCATTGAGGCGGAGCTGAAAAGGCCCTTTGTGCTCGCTGAATGCCAAAAGGCTTTTCCACCGTCCAGTTACTCTGCCGCTGAAGGCCTCGGCTCTTTGTGTGCTGGCTGGCAGGCTCTGAGAGCTTCAGTATTCACAGGAAGCCTTCTTGAGGAGCCGGCTCCCCACAGAGCACAAAGAACGAGAGAAAATGACTCCTAACCACTCACTGTGTCCCAGAACGGCTCGGAAATCACTTCCTGTGGAAAAACATCTCCTAAAGAAGTTTTTCTGCGCTGAAACGAACACACACAACACCACAATCAGCTGATTTTTCTGTAATATCATGCTGTAAATATTTACAGAGTTACAGGTCCTGAAAGGTCCTGGAAGAACAAAATAGTGGGTTTTTGAACAAGTCTAGATGATTTTTCCAGCGTTTCAACTTCATGAATCCAGCAGAGATCTGTTATCTTCAGGGCTAAAAACACTGAATCAGTTTAATAAATAAATGTAGTCCAGAAATATTCACAGTGTAAGTTACTGTGTAGTGAATATAACAGTGTGGGCTGGGGGGTATATATGTCTGCTGATCGTTTTTCGGTTTGTCTTTGGGAAATGTGCTGACTCAACTAAAATAAAGGCAGACACTCAAATAAACTGTAAATAAAAAGAAGCGACAGAGATGCTAGAATGGTCCGTGAACAGATGAAAATGATGGTGGCATCGTCATGTACTTTATTATTATTATTTATTTATAATTATTTATTTGTAGAATTCTTTTAATACACTTAACAAATTAAGGGAGCACTTTTTAATCAGAGTGCAGCATCAAGTCAGTTAAATTCCTGGATATATCAGAGGGGGGTGCAATAGAGGGGCAACAACCCCAAACCAGGAATGGTTTTCAATTCCCCCTCCCCGTCTTTTATGACTGTTTTTCACTAGTCTTGCATTTGGCTAGGGTCAGTGTAACCACATTAATACGTGCCACTGCCAGCAGGTTTGCAGCGTCTCCCAGCACAGTCTCAAGAACATGGAGGAGAGCTGGAGAGGGCCGTAGAAGGCCTTAACCCATCAATAGACCGGTATCTGCTCCTCTGTACACGGAGGAAGAGGGCGAGCACTGGAATAGCTACAAAAAGACCTCCAGCTGGTCACACCATGTCTCTGATGAACCAATCAAACACAAGCTTCATGGGTGTGGCATATGTCAGTCAGGTTCACGGTGCCTTCTAGTGCACTCACTGCACAGCACCGTGGACCTGACGGACATTTGGCATAGAATGCTAGAACTGGCATGCCCACCACTGAACTTGAGCTTGTTCTCGGTTATGAAATCATGTTTTCCTTCAGTTTTTTATGTTAGAAGGCTCTCTGCATCACCCTCAGAGGTGTTCTTCTACACTTCATACAGACTCACTGCTCACTGTGAGTTTGCTGTGTTAGTGTGCACGTGGACACTCACCTCGTACGCCCGGGGGGTGGTCAGACAGCTCGCCAGCGGCCCGCAGTAGCTGGGTAGGGTGGAGGTGAGAGGCGGGCCACTGTGGGTCAGAATGGGCTTCAGGTAACTGAAGGCTTATTAAGGACAAGCAGCTGACTGAGTCTTAAACACTTTAAATGGTAATGATCCACCCACCTGTCAATCCATCCATCCACCTATTCATCCAACCATTCTGCTTATCAATACTTCTGTCCATATGTTGGAGAAAACTAGGATGTATCAGTGGTTATGGCGACTTTAGCTCATCAATGATATTTTTCATCTCTGAATGAATTCTCTTAGGTATTTATGCTAGTCCACACTGTGAGGCACCTTTACTACACTTAA